TTGGAAGAATTAAGAAATGTAAGAATTAAGAAATGTGTCTTATGATAACGATAGAATTTATAAGGAGAAACTAAAGTTATGGCATGATTGAAAGTTTAACCATAAGAACTTTGAACCAGAACAAGAAGTTTTGCTTTACAACACTAGGCTAAAATTATTAAAATTATTCCCTGGGAAATTGAAAGTAGGACCCTTTACTGTGACTCAAGTTTATACTTACGGAGTTGTTGAGATTGAAGATTAGAAAACTGGAAATAAATTTTGAAAATAGATTTAAAGTAAATGGACACAGATTAAAACCATATTTTAAGGGTAAAAGACCAAATTTTAAAGAGGTTTTAATGATCAGTCAACCTGAATAACACCTGAATAGGTCGGGCTGACGACGTTAAACCAAGAGCTTTATGGGAGGCAACCCATTGTTATCTTTACTATTACTGCAATTATACTAGTTTTGATTTGTAATTATCATTAGTTTGTGGTAGTATTAAGCTCTACTACTCTTATTTACCCTTGAATCATCATAAGAATTGGATCCATAAAGAAAAATTGGAACGCATTCGGACCAGAGCAAAACTGTGCAATTTTTGCCTTGGGCGCCAACGGTACCCTCGATGCCGCCGACGGCGGGTTTTTCTCGAGAGTCTAGTCAAAATAAATACAGAGCCTTGCCGATGGCGTGCTGGGCGAGATGGCGGTTTATTGGGTTTGAATGGCAATTTTTAGCGGTTTTTGGGCAGGAGTTACCCTTTTAAACTCCCAAATTCGATTCCTACTTCATATTTTCCCCCAAAATGAAGTGAAACTCCACCAATTTCATTCATATGGCATCCAATTCCTTTGATAATCCCATAATGCGAGTTTTCAATTGGAGAAAGTTTTTTAGTGCGGAAGCGGAGCGAATCTTCAACAAGGTACTGACAAGGTACTGACGTACTGACAAAGAAAAGATTGATCAAGGAAAGAGGATTCGTAAATCACAGATTGAATAATCCCTCTACAGCAATTGAAGAGACGATAGTGCGGTGAATAAGGGAAGGGTTGTGCTATTGTACTGCCGTCGTGGTTGGTCCTGTGGTAAAGGAATTTTATGCAAACTTGCATGGAATCAACCACAGAGTTTTTTATGTGCGAGGGAGATGGATCACTTTCACTCCTACACGGATCAATGAATTATACATGATAGAGAACATTCCTGTCTGCCACTATTCCAATTTTGTCCCGACAAGAAACCAGATGAATGAAATTTACTAATATTTAACGAACGGAACTGACGACTGGGAAATGAGAGAAAACGGGTGTGCTCGTTTTTCTGCGACACTCCTAAATCCCATTCTGAAATATTGGCATTTTTTCATTTCTGTGAAACTGTTGTCGACTATGAAGATCAGTAAAGTTTCTAAGGAAAGTGCTATTTTGAATTACTGCATCCAAAGGGGACTACCGATCGATATTGGATCAATAATTGTGAAGTTGGTTCTGGGCCTGATTGTTCATGGATCAACTTATGGGCTTGGACACCCTTCAACAATTTTCTCACTTTGCAGTTAGTTCCAAGTGTCCTACGAAAATTGGGAAAAGGTACTTCTACCTCGGAAGCCTTTGGACCCAACTGAGAGATTCCTAGCTTTTGAAGATGAAAATGACATGGCAATTATAGTAGATCAATCATCTCAAAATTCACTGCCAGTTCAACCCTTAATTTCTGATAAGACTCTGGTGATCCTGCGCAGAATCAAGAAATTGGAGAAGGAGATACAAAATGTCATGAATGTAATTAATAATATCTCCGATTTCTTCGATCATCTAGACTGGAGGATGAAAGAAAATTTTGATCACTCTAGAAATTTAGAAGATAGTTTGATACGGCTGATGAGGAGGATGAAATTGATAGATGAGGATTCCATTGAAGAATTTCCATTTCGACCCTTCTACAATCTCTTCGTTCATGTGCAATCAATGGGTGATCTCAGAGGAGAATCTAGTACTAAGTCTGGTGAATAGTAGATCTATATTACTACCTTTATATTACTACCTATCTGTCTATCTATGTATTTTGATTTGAACTTTGTATTTGCTTTGCTTTAGAATTATGCTTTTAGATCTTTGTATAGTTGAGACAAAGCATCAGATGTTTTGTTTTCAGCGTTTTGAGTGTTGTGGCTTGGATTGCGATGCTGAATTAATGTGTTGAGGTTGATAAAATACCAGACTTAGGTGTGTTATGTAACGTATATTGTACCCCTTGGAATTTATATATAAAAGTGATGTTTTGTGTGAAAGTTTATTTGTGATAATTACATCATTTAGTCACTTAAAATTTTGTCTATAATGATTAAATGGATGTTGTTAAGGCTTGAAATTGATCAAAATCGCAAAATTCTGGGAATTGAACAAAAATCAATAGATCTCGCCAACGGCGGATCTTTCCTGAGATTTAGGATTTAATTCCAATAGAGCGCACTGACAGCGCCATCGACCCCGCCAACGGCGAGCTCACAAAAATACACCTTTAACCGTGAGTTTGGACCAATTAACCGCCACTATTCATCATAAGCTTTCCCCAGCGGAGTCGCCAGAAGCTGTCGGCACTATTTTTGGTATGGGGTTTGTCCGTAAGAAGCTGAACGAAAATATTAGGAAGAAGTTCATGGATCTTAGTGTTAAACTCTTAGAATTACTTTTGGAAGCCATTCTTTGAATATTTGAAGTATATTTTGGAATTTTTCTATAATTTGATTAGATTGAAATGGCTCCACGACAAAAGAGAAGAATTGAGTTCAGCGAGTCTCTTTTCGTCAATGTGATGGCTTAAACAAGATTTACTTCAGTCTTTAAGGGAAAGAACTGTATTTAAGATCGAGTTTTTGAGTGTCCTGGAGGAGAAAATGAACAAGTTATTGCCGAGCGGAGGGGGGAAAACTTTTGTTACACCACCAATAAAGCTGATGCAAATGTTGTGAAGGAATTTTAAGCCAATGTAATCTATTATGAAGATGGAATCGTTCAAGTGCGGGGATTTCCTGTTGAATTTAATGCCGCTCGCATCAAC